TGTGATGCTGGCATTGCGGTTTTTGTTAAAAGGGCTACGGAAGTGTCTGGTGAAGCTGCAGGCACCTCGGAGGATCACTGCCGCAGAAGCGGCAAGCAACAATGACCCCCCATATTGTTGCTGAGCGGTGTTGAGTGAACAGTCTCACGTCAAGACAGTGGGAGCAAGATCGTAGGCAGGGACGCTGCTTGCAATCTTCCTCATTCTGCGCGATATCATCGCTCAAGCACGCAGCCAAGGCGTATAGCACGCCATGGCTAAAGCCCACCCCGTGCCTGAAGATGCACGTCCCATCCCTGAGGGAGAGGATTTGGCTTTCTGATGGCAGCCATGCTTGCGCACAGCAAATGTTGCTGCGCATGCATTCTCTAACACCTGTGATGCTGGCATTGCGGTTTTTGTTAAAAGGGCTACGGAAGTGTCTGGTGAAGCTGCAGGCACCTCGGAGGATCACTGCCGCAGAAGCGGCAAGCAACAATTAGGGTTTAGGGTTTAGGGTTTAGGGCAGAAGCCCGCGACCTCCCTCCTTGTAAGGCTCCCCTCAACACTAAGCCCCAAACCCTGAACCCGAAATCCTAAACCCTAAACCCTAATTTCGGCCGAGTTATCTTACTATGACCCTTTACAGGAATTGCCTAGTACCAGATTCCCAAAAGGCTTAAGGAAGAACCAGGAAGTTAAGCCAAACCCTAGACCCTAAACCCTAAACCCTAACCCCTAAACCCCAAGCCCTAAACCCTAAACCCTAAACCCTAAACCCTAAGCCCTAAGCCCTAAGCCCTAAACCCTAAACCCTACGCCCTAACCCTCAACCCTCAACCCTCAATCCTGGGCAAGCCCAGCAGCCCGAAGCATCTTCCCAAGGAGAGACGAGGTCGGCAAATTATTCGAGAAGCACTGTCCTGGTCCCTTGGGTGATCTTCGCAGGTTTAGGGGTTAGGGTTTTTGGGCATTTTGGGGTTTAGGGTTTAGGGTTTGGGGTGGTTTAGGGTTGTTGGTTTGAGGGTTGGGTAATGAATGCCGCAAAAAGTGAAAGACGAAGAGGTCGTCGTCGTCGTCGTCGTCGTCGTCGTCGTAGTAGTCGTAGTAGTCGTAGTAGTCGTAGTAGTCGTCGTCGTCGTCGTCGTCGTAGTAGTAGTAGTAGTAGTAGTAGTAGTAGTAGTAGTAGTAGTAGTAGTAGTAGTAGTAGTAGTAGTATAGTAGAAGTAGTAGTAGTAGTAGTAGTAGTAGTAGTAGTAGTAGTAGTAGTAGTAGTAGTAGTAGTAGTAGTAGTAGTAGTAGTATAGTAGTAGTATGTAGTAGTAGTAGTAGTAGTAGTAGTAGTAGTAGTAGTAGTAGTAGTAGTAGTAGTAGTATGGTAGTAGTAGTAGGTAGTAGTAGTATAGTAGTAGTAGTAGTAGTAGTAGTAGTAGTAGTAGTAGTAGTAGTAGTAGTAGTAGTAGTAGTAGTAGTAGTAGTAGTAGTAGTAGTAGTAGTAGCTAACTACTACTACTACTACTACTACTACTACTACTACTACTACTACTACTACTATTACTACTAGGAGCCCCTTGTAAAGATCCCCACAAGGCCTGTTGCTGGAATGTCCCAATTTTAGTGTGTCCCTAGGACGTCTTGTCACAATCATCAGCTCTTCTAACCGTGCTAGACCGGACCTATTGAGAAGCCGAAAATCGAAATCCTGAACCCTGAACCCGCTTTGGAGCCCTACGCCCTAAACCGTAGGTGTGTCTCTGATGGTCGCGGCCCAAGCCAATGCGACTGACGAGAGCAGCCTGCTCGAATCCTGGTGACGACACAGGGTCTAGGGGGTCGGGTTTGTCCGTGAAAAAGGTGATAGCATTATCCTTTTTTAACCTAGAGTACAAGCTACCCCATTCGTTTCATCGCAGAGGTCCGCATATCATGGATGCATCAGCCCCGTGTGCATTGGACAGCAAGATGCCCCGAACACTGCAACCCAGGAGCCCTAAACCCTAAACCCTAAACCCGAAACCCTAAACCCTAAACTTTTATAAGCCCTAAACCCCAAAAGACGTGCCGAGGATTGGAAGCAGACGGTTCTGCCGCGCCTGCCAAGCGCTGCGACGGACATGGAAGGGATCTTGCTGCAGATTTCTGGGCAAAGCCCCAGTAAGTTTAGAGTTTAGGGTTTAGGGTTCAGGTTCCGGTTTAAAGTTTCGCCAGCTCCTGAGCTACCGCAAAGCCGAGTGGGAAGACTGCGACTCCTTCTTTCGAAACGACCCCACCGGCGATTTAGAACCTGGCGTTTGCTCAAACAACCTCGCCAAAGAACTCCCAAGTGATCTGGGTCTCCAATTTTTGGCGACGGCACTCCCCAGAAGGGGGTGACGGGACGACAGGACTCAGGCAGAAAGGTGCCCCCTGCGGGTTTAGGGTTTAGGGTTTAGGGTTTAGGGTTTAGGGTTTAGGGTTTAGGGTTTAGGGTTTAGGGCTGGGCCGTGCTCGAAACCCCAAGCCCTTAAAGGCCTGTCGAAGCCCTAAACCCAAAGCCGCAAGCCCAAAACCCCCACACCCCAAAATCTGAAACTCTAAACCCTGACCCTGAAACAAATGGACGGATTTCCTCCATGCGCGGATTTCCTCATTTGGCCCAGACCCTTGCCCTAAAGCGGGTTGAGTGGTGTCGGGCTTTAGAGGGCATTAGGGGGATTTAGGGGAGTGGTTTGGGGCTCAACGGGTTCAGGGCTTCAGGGTTTTTGGGGTTTTGATGAGGAGTTTACCGGGGTTTCTTGAGGCTTTGGGTTTAGGTCACTACAGTGTTCAGGGTGTTCAGGGGTTCAGGAGTGGGGCAACCGTTTGACCCCAAACCCCAAACCCCAAACCCCAAACCCCAAACCCTAAACCCCAAATCCTAAACCCCAAACCCAAAACAAACGAAGCCCTAAACCTCGACCTCTGCCAGACTGAGGCTCGAGAGACGAAGCAAGAAGCCATTGCTTTAGGGTTTAGGGTTTAGGGTTTAGGGTTTAGGGTTTAGGGTTTAGGGCAGCAAGAAGCCGCACAATCACACGACAGGCTAGGTGACGAGATCAGCCGGAAAGAAGCAAGTCCAGGTTGTGAATTTTGGAGGCTTGGGAAGGATTGAGCAAGCAAGCACATTCTCAGCCAGATTTGCAGCTTGGGGATTTGGGCTGCCTTAGGGTCTAGGGTCTAGAGTTTGGGGTTTGGGGTTTAGGGTTTAGGGGTTGAACGTTTAGGGTTTAGGGTTTTGGGACAGCTGACCCCTCAGCCAAGCCCTAGATAAAGGACAACGCGAGGTGACAAACCTATTCACACTGTTGACGCCATGGGCGGTAAGTATGGTGGAAAAGGCGGCGGAGGAGGACGGGGCACAGCGTTTGGGGTTTGACCTGGAACGGACGCTGGTTCTGTGCCTGTGTTTTTTTGTTTACTTTTGTTCATTTCATCTGTTGGCCTTGCCTCTAAGCGTACCTACAGCCTATATACTCTCTGAAACCCTGGACTAAACCCTAAGCTGAGCCTAAAACCCTAAACCGAAAACCCCTGACTGCCAAAAGCACTGAACCTCTTAACCCTGAACAGAAGACATAAAGATTTGTTTTCATGAATCTATAGAGGTTAAGGAGCACGCGCAACAAGCAACATCAACAAGGAAGGGGCTCAAAAGGAGTCATTCCTATCAAGTAGATGGGGGTATTTCCCAAAATATGGGGGGTACCCTTTTATACCCCAAATAGAATAGAATCTCCTTATAGCGACTGCTAAAAGGGCACCCCCTATTTTCGGAAACCCGCATGTGGGCGGGAGTTGCGGACAACCGCAACCCTCTGATGAAGGCTACTGTCTTGGAGAGGACTCCTTGAACCAGGAAACCCACAACTCTTGATCCGAAGAGAGGCCCCCAAACCCCCGAAGTCCTGCACCTACATCAATCTGGGGATTACGACCATAGGGGGACCTTTTAATAGCAGGATTCCCGTATTATAAGGACCCCAAGAAGGTGCCCCTAATGTCGGGAACCCGCATCTGAACCTAAACCTCCCGGCCGTGTCAAGCCAGGCAGTGGTGGGTGGTAGTTTCACTACATCCCCTTTTCGATCCCTTTCGGTGTTCGGGGTTTAGGGACCCTAACCCCTAAACCCTAAACCCTAAACCCTAAACCCTAAGCCCTAAGCCCTAAACCCTAAACCCTCAAGACCTGTGACAGAGGTGGATATGGCGGCGGCTATGGTGGAGGTGGCGGTGGGTATGGCCAGGGGGTCCCAGCTCTGTCTTCGCGCTTGAGGGCTGAGGGCTGAGGTTGTTTTGAGGGCTTCGGGTTTGCCAGCCCTAAACCCTAAACCCTACACCCTAAACCCTAAACCCTAGCCCTAAACCCTAAACCCTAACCCTAAACCTAGCCCTACATCCTTAGGGTTTGGGTAAGCATCTGGGTCTCGAAGTCATGCTGCTTTTTGCGGTTTTGGGGGGCTCCCGGCCTTGTCCGGGGCCTTTACGTTTCTTGGGCTTCGGGCAGGAAGTGCGGAGTTTCTGGTAAAACAGACGTAGGATGTAGGGCTTAGGAACCTCAAGCCAAGAGGCTTAACAGGGGGTTTAGGGGTTTAGGGGTTTAGGGGTTTAGGGGTTTAGGGGTTTAGGGGTTTAGGGGTTTTGGGGTTTTGGGGTTTAAGGGCTTGGGGTTGCACCCCAAACCCCAAGCCCTGCGGACTAAGTCCACCCATCCTCCGGAGCATTGGCTTGGAGAGCGCATGGAGAAAGCAACCTCACTTAAAACCGAACAAACCCCTAAGCCCCTGGAACCTCTCAACCCTAAACCTATTACACCCCTGAGCCACTACATCCCTATACCCTACACCCTAAATCCCTAAACCCTAAACCCTAAATCCCTAAACCTTTGAACCCTACACCCTACATCCCTAAATCCCGAAATCCCGAAATCCCTAAGCCCGAAAAAGGCCCAACCGCGCCCTAAACGGCCTCGTGCAAGCCGAGGTGTGGGGGGCGAGTCCGAGGAAATGGAGGCAAAGAATTCCTCCCTTGACCCAAGAAGGTTTCTAGTAGGGGTTTAGGGTTTCTAGGGTTTGCAGGGTTTGTAGGGCTTAGGGTTCAGGGTTTAGGGTTCAGGGTTTAGGGTTTCGGGTTTAGGGGCTTATAGGATTTATAGGGAAGACCGGGTTTATAGGGTATCTAGGTATGCGTGCATGTGGATGTCGCTGTTTAAATGTCAATGCATACGCGCATGAGACAATGCGTGCTACATATGGGTGTTAAGGGCAAAAAATAGACACCAACTTTCCCCATTCCTCCTTTAGAACTAGAAGTTTTTCTTCCAGGAAGATCATGAAACCACATGTTCTCGAGGCAAGGCAACAGGGCAGCCTTTGGCAATGGTTTGCATGATCTTCTTTATAAGGAGCACGTTGCCTCACCATCGTCGCAAGAAGCCACGCGCCCCTTGCGAACACAAGAACACCGAGCAGATATTGAAGCCGGAGGTTCGTCTCCCGGTGTTTGTAGGCATCATGGGCCTTTGTCTCCTGTACTGCTTGATGAACTCCCTATGATCTTTGAGTGCGAACGAGGCCCGGAACGTTCTGCATGATCTGGTTTTTCTTACAGGCACCCTTTCAGACATCCTCTTTTGGGCTTTGTTTGCGATTAGTTTTATACAAGTGACAGCAACAAACGTCCTCACCTTTGCAGAAAGCATCTTCTGCGAGTAGGGTTTAGGGTTTAGGGTTTAGGGTTTAGGGTTTAGGGTTTAGGGTTTAGGGTTACCAAATGCTTTTCGTCGGGAGGTGAGGAGAAATTTGGGCACCCACCACAGGAATCCTCGCAGGAAAGTTTTTGCAGGAGCGTTCACGACCTAAGAGTCGCATTGCCCTTAAACCCCCTCAAACCCTAAACCTTAAACCTTAAGCCTTAGACCCAAAAGGGTTTAGGGTTTAGGGTTTAGGGTTTAGGGTTTAGGGTTTAGGGTTTAGGGTTAAACCCAAAACCCTCTCCTTCGTGTTCAGGTGGTTTGGGTTGAGGGGATACATGGCAAAATCAACAGAAAGATGAAGTCCGCATGGGTGGCCGTATATACATACACATCTGTACGCAAGGTCTTTCACTCTCCACCATTTGGAGTGTGGTCTTCCTTGAAGTTTAGATTGCCTTCCTCAACCCTAAACCCTAAACCCTAAACCCTAAACCCTAAACCCTAAACCCTAACCCTAAACCCTAAACCCTAAACCCTAAACCCTAAACCCTAAACCCTAAACCCTAAACCCTAAACCCTAAACCCTAAACCCTAAGCCCTAAGCCCTAAGCCCTAAAACCCTAAGCCCTAAGCCCTAAGCCCTAAACCCTAAACCCCAAAACCCTAAATTGCAACGGTGGAGATTCCGGAGGTGGAGTTGGCTTTCAGGGTTGGGTTGTGGGGGCTTATGCAGCTAGGGTTTAGGGTTTAGGGTTTAGGGTTTAGGGTTTAGGGTTTAGGGTTGAGGGTTGAGGGGTTTAGGGTTTAGGGTTTAGGGTTTAGGGTTTAGGGTTGAGGGTTGAGGGTTTAGGGGCTGCCAGGGTGCAAGGACTGCAAGCTGACTACAGGCGGGGCTGCAGGAACAGACCTCCCTGCAGGCTTGCTGCAGGCTTGCACCCTAAACCCCAAGCCCAAAACCCTAAACCCTAAACCCTAAACTCTAAACCCTAAACCCTAAACCCAAAACCCTAAGCTCTCCACCCTACACCCTCAACCATGAGGGACGTCTCTAAATATACATGTCAACCCTGACACTTCTGGGACACTTTGCGACGAGGCTCTCGGGCCTCTGAACCCCAAACCCTAAACCCTAAACCCTAAACCCTAAACCCTAAACCCTAAACCCTAAACCCTAAACCCTAAACCCTAAACCCTAAACCCTAAAAAAGAAGCCCTAAAGCCCTGGAGGTTGACGACCGGGACATCGGCCGAATCGTGGGCCGAGGCGGCTGCAACATTCGCGATCTGCAGGCTGGTGCCAAAGGGTTAGGGGCTTTTGGGGATTCAGGGTTTAGGGTTTAGGGTCTAGGGTCGAGGGTTTAGGGTTTAAGGTAATTTGAGGGGTTAAGGGTTCTTGCGGGGGGGTTGAGGAGTTCAGGGTTTAGGGTCTAGGGTTTAGGGTTTAGGGTTTAGGGTCTAGGGTTTAGGGATATTTCAGCATGACATGGAACTACGAGCACATGGTAAAATCAAGGGAAGTCTCCTTGCTGGAAACACGTGCGCGACGTGCTGAGCAGAGGGAGACTTCAAAAAGCAGCGTAGGGATCCCCTGCACCGGCCACCGTGCAGAGCCACGTTCAATCCCGAATGCACTTCAAGTCTGTGTTCAGGGTTTAGGGTTTAGGGTAGGGTTTAGGGTAGGGTTTAGGGCCGGCGTGCCCCCCTTCCCCCCCCGCGCAGGCAGAAGTAAGGCATATTCGCGAGCTCTCGTACGCGTGGCAAGAACAAGCACCAAGCATCCTAGAGCCCAAAACGCAAAAAACCCAAAGTCCTACAAAGCCTTACCAAAAAGACCAAAACCGCGGAAGCCTGTGTATTTCGAAAACCTCCAAACTCCGAACCCCAAAGCCGTGAGCCTTCAAGAGCCAAAGTCCTTTGTCTTGGAGGGTTGGGGTTGAAAATAGCTCAGGGTGAGGGGGGTTAGAGTGTCACGCCCCCAGAGGGAAATCTTCAGGTGTTGCGTATTACGAAGGTTTGTTCTGACCTTTAGTGTCATGATGTTTTGTACAGGCTATTTGTGTGAAAGTTGTTTTGGTTTCCGGGTTTTGGGGTTTTTGGCTTTTTAGGGTTTAAGGGCTCAAAAAGAGAGTCTTTGAACAAAGACCAAGGGTCTAGGGCTTTCGATTCGGGTTTAGGGTTTCAGGTTTAGGCTTGCGTTGTCGCCTGGACTCGCGAAACGCCCCCAGCCGAATCCGAAGTAGGTTTAGACACCCAAAAAGCCCAAAACACCGTAGAACCCGAGACCTCTCACAAAACGCTCTTTCCACCGTAAGCCCCCTAATTAAGCCCCAGCATCTTAAAGCCCTCATAGCAATATTGGCTTTGTCCCAAGTTCTCAATTGGGGTTATACGTGCCCTAAAGGAAGGCATGTTTGGGGTTGTCCTACTCATGACCCGACTTAGCACAAGCCCTAGACCCTACATACAAAGCGATCCTCCAAGTAGGAGGGAACGAAGTGCAAGATCATAACGCCCAACAAGCGAGGCGCGGGGGGGGGGGAGGGGGGCGAGGGAGGGAATTCAGGATTCACCCGAGGGCTTTAGGGTTGAGGGGTTTAGGGTTTTGAGGCTTTAGGGTTCAGTGTTTAGGATTCAGGGCCTAGGAGGCCTGAACTAAAACAAAATTCAGCCCTCAACGGCTGTGAGGTTGTTAGGGTTTAGGTCTCTATGAAAGGTTCCCTTCTAACTCCTAGTAAGGGCTGTTAGTATAAGGGGGAACATCCCACGTTGAGGGCTTCCCCCTGGTTCCTAGTAAAAAATGAAAAAAATAGGCCCTGTATATACCCTGTAATAAGGGATTATATAGGGTACCTCTTGGAGCTTCAATTTCTGGATTAAACCCTGAACCCAAAAACCCTAAACCCTAGACCCTCGACCCTAAACCGGAAACCCTAAACCCTAAACCCTAAACCCTAAGCCCTGAACCCTAAACCCTGAACCCTAAACTCCATGCCCCCGCGCCGGTGCCAGGAGACAACGACGACCCCTCCCTACGGAAGGCGACCTGGTGCTTAGTAGGGAATGAGGGCAGTTCACTTAGGGTTTAGGGTTTAGGGTTTGGGGTTTGGGGTTTAGGGTTTAGGGTCTAGGGTTAGTATATGGGGGCTTCCGAAATTAGGGGTACCTTATTGGGGTCCTTGTTAAAGAGGGAATCCTACTATTTGGGGGTCCATTTTAGGGTCCCTATGTTGGGGTCCCCTATGTCGTAAACCTCCAAAACCCCAAACCCCAAACCCAAAACCGTAAACCCTAAACCCTAAACCCTAAAGTATATAATGGCAGGGAAAGGCGCACTGCATCTACCCTCTCAGGGAGTTCATGCTTTGTAGGGAATGAGAGGGAAAGTAGGGGCCCTATATATAATCCTATTCAGGGAGTATATAGGGCCCCCTATATACTCCCGAATACTCCCGAAAAGGGAGTATATAGGGTACCTCATTCCTCATTCCCTGCTCAGAACCAGCCTGAAGGTGATCATCCAGGGCAGCAAGGAGCAGATCGCCAAGCCGCAGACTTAGGGGGCTGGGTTTAGGGTTTAGGGTTTAGGGTTTAGGGTTTAGGGTTTAGGGTTTAGGGGTTTAGGGGTTTAGGGGTTTAGGGGTTTAGGGTTTAGGGTTTGGTGTTGCGAACTGGGCTTCTGAACCCCAGCAGGAAGCGTTGAAATGCGATGCAGGTTGGGGTCAAAACAAATAGCACCCGAAGTATTAGAAGAACGACTTAAAACATGTGAAGCAGATATAGAAGAAATAAAGAGAGAGATATGAAGAGTATGGAACAATTACATACAATGGAGTAATATTATACACATATATATGTATGATATTGACAGTGTATAGTCTTTTGAAACAGGAACAAGTGCCCCGTCCAGAAAAAGTCAAAGCATCTTGTGGATGAACGCAAGAAAAGCATTGTGATACATTCAATAGTACTTCAAAAGCAAGTGTGTAGTTCGTTTAGCGAGTTTACAGTACTTCATATACAACCAATCATTTGTATGCCAATATATGCAGATTGAATCATCGTATCGTTTGATTCAGGCGATGAGTGTAATTGTGAATGTGACATGAACGATACAAGATATTGTCCTAATTGTCAGATATGTAGAAGTCAGTTAACGTGCAAAAGCCTGAACAAAAACAAACATTATTATACATGATGTAGGAGATGCTTAGATAGTATGAACAGCTACAAGGACAATTCGACTCTGTATAAGGTTTTTCCAACGCAAAGCTTTTACACACTTTAAACAGTTTTAGTAGAAAACTTTTATATGGTATGTCAGATTCAGACGATGAGGTTGAGGAAGCACAGGCAACAAGATTGCAACACATCTTAGATAAGTTAGCATTAAGTGAAAAGGCAGTAAATAAACTTAACGACGATATAAAGATAGTGATGCTTATAAGTATAAGAAAAATGCTTATGTTCATAACCTCAACAACGAAGAAACTAGGTTTGCGAGGAAAGAGACATTAGAATACCATGAGATTGAATACGACGACCACATGAGAGCGTATTACATATTGTATTTCACAAACGTTAATATTTTACAAAAAAGCATGTACAGAATTGAGAACTTACGTATCTATGGCAGACTCTTCTGGATATAAAAGCAAACAGGAAATAACCCAAATGAATGGTTACTTGAATTTCATAAAGAATGAAGTTTTGGACGCCTTAGCTGGTGTGCCGTATATGGAAAACGACTGTACGACGGTGGTTGATGTAAGGGATTGTTGAAATTGTCACAGATGCGAGGACAATAGACATTATGAGACAGGAAGATGTGGCAAGCGTAGAGCCAGATACTGACAAAATGAAATGTAGCTCTTGTAGAACACATCGGGAAAGTCGAAATTGCTAAATGAAGGGTTCAAGACTTGCGACTTATGTAGGGAAAAAGCGCAAACTATAAGGGAGAAAGCCACCAGAAAATGATAGTTCGTTGTGCAACTTGCGATTTGTGATGTTAAAAGAAACGAACAAGCAAGACGCAAAAGAACCAAGAAGCACCTATGTAGTCTAAACAAACGAAACTAAGCAGACAATCGTCTTCTAAGTAACTTTAAGTACAAGTCTATCTAGAGGTTTTCCGTGAGTTCAAGGTTATAGGCTTTGGGGTGGTGGTCTATTAACTTAGGCGGACATACCCAGTTCAGGTTAGGATATTTGGTGTAGAATGGGTGAGGTTAAGGTTTTGGTTATTGGTTATGATTTTGGGTTATAGAATGGGTGAGGTTATGACAGTGGTTACTTGGTTCTGATTTTGGTTTCTGTAAAGGTTTTGGGTGAAAGTTGTTGGGGGGGGGGAGTGAGAGCGTAGATGCACTGGGGGATGACCCTCGCTAGCTGTATGTCCCCTTTTGTGGGAGTTCTGTACGGTAAGGGGTAAGAGCCTTTCCGAGAGTAAGGATACGACCCTAAACCCTAAACCCTAAACCCTAAGCCCTAAGCCCTAAGCCCTAAGCCCTGAACCCTAAACCCTAAACCCTAAACCCTAAACCCGAAACCCCAAACCCTAAACCCTAAACCCTAAACCCGCCCGCCACCCCACTCTCTTGTTTTTTGGGGTAGGCGGGAACATTAACGCTCGCTCTAGCCCTCAACTCGGAACCACGAGGCGAACTCCTAAACCCTAAACCCTAAACCCTAAACCCGAAACCCTAAACCCTAAACCCTAAACCCTACACCCTAAACCCTAAACCCTAAACCGAGAAGAAGAAGAAGCAGCGCAGACCAGAAGAGCAACCCTCTTCTGGCTCTCTTAAAAAGGGACCTGATTCAGAGGGTCTATACCCCCAAGGGTCCCTCTAATCCTATCCCCTATTCATTCATGTTGTCGCACCTGTGGCGCATCCTCCCGCTGGCATCGGCGACAGGTGTGTCGGCCACACTGACAGCAGCAGGTTACAGGCGGAGACCCCCCCCCCCCCCTAGGCCGCTAGTTGGATCAACGCACAACTAAATCCTGAGCCCTCTCATGTCGAGGGTTACCCCTAAACCCTAAACCCTAAACCCTAAACCCTAAACCCTAAACCCTAAACCCTAAACCCTAAACCCTAAACCCTAAACCCTAAACCCTAAACCCTAAATAAAGCTCGCAAAGCTCCGCATCCCGAACCCCAAGCCAGTCCAAAGAAGCAGATACCAAAAGGTGCAAGGAGGCCATCAACGGCGTCCTGATGGGTGAAGAGCCGAAGGAGCTACAATCTGGGGGTCACCGGTTGAGCCTTCGAGTTGGCCCTAAAACCCTAAGTACTAAGCCCTAAACCCTAAAGTCTAAGTCCTAAACCCTAAACCCTAAGCCCTGAGGCCTAAGCCCTAAACCCTAAACCCTAAACCCTAAACCCTAAACCCTAAACCCTAAACCCTAAACCCTAAACCCTAAACCCTAAACCCCGCTCAGACAGCGCGTCTTTGCCGCGCATTTACTTGGCCGGGGCTTCCGGCAACTGAAAAAACCGCGTGAATACCGTATAATTCGTGGTTCGTTACAACTTTGAGACCTCCAAGTGCTCTAAAGTGTTATAGGTCGGGGTCTAATTTTCGGTGTGCCTGAGATCTGGGTTTGAAAGGACTAAGGGTTTGGGGCTTCGGGTTTAGGGTCTACGTTCGCTCTAGGCCCTTAGCATGGGCCCTTATGTACCCCTTATATACCGCATACAATTTAAGGGACCATATTGCAGAACCCTTTAAAGGAGGGAGGTTAGTGACCATATTAAGGGCCCATGAAACTAGCCTCAGGGCTTCGGGTTCTAGGGGTTAGATGTAGGGTTTTCACGGCTTGGGGTTGAGGGTTGAAAGGGCATGAAGGGTTGGGGTCTAGAGAAAGGTTGCGGGTTTTGGGGTTAAGGGTTCGGGTTTTCGGGCTTCGGTTTAGGCACCCTGAATGAGAAGAAGGAATACTAGTCGAGATCAGCTGAAGCTTCGGCAACCCCTATCCCTAAACTCTAAAATCGAAGCCCTTGGTATCGAGTCGTGGAATCCCAAAATAGACGCCTCCTCGGAAAGCCCCTAAGCCCTAAACCCTAAACCATGAACCCTAAACCCTAAACTCTAAACCCTAAACCCTAAACCCTAAACCCTAAACCCTAAACCCGAAATCTGGGTGTTCAACATCTGCCACGCAGTGGACGCAGGCTCGGTGACTTTCGCAGGATTCCGGTGCAGGGTTCAGGAGGTCATGGAGGTGCCTCCTAAGTTTAGGGTTTAGGGTTTAGGGTTTGGGGGTTATGATAGTATACTTATACCAGGGACCAGAAGGACAAGGGAATGTTGTGAGTGATTTTTCATTTTTCCGGCCCCTATATTCTGTACTGTGAGTTTTGTTTTTCATTTTGTTTTTCTTTCTTTCTGCCGGGGGGGGGGCCTTTGGGACTGCTTTGGGGGGCGTGTTCAGGGTTGAAAGGGCTGAAAGGTGTCAAGGTTGTGCCAGAGCGAGGACGTGCTGGCGCAGATTGATGGTGCAGTCATCATCAAGAGCTTCCGCCTGCAAAAGTTTGGGTTTTAGGGTTTAGAGGGTTTAGAGGGGGGGGGGGCAGCTCTTTTAGCATGGGCATGTTGTGGGGAAGTACATCTTTTAATTCCAGAAGGGTTATTCTGTGAGCTCCTCCAAACCCTACGTCCTGAAGCTAAGGCCTTTGACCCCTTCAGCCTTTTACACCCTGAACTTTCGGATGGTTTCTTGGTCTCTATGATGGTAGATATGGTATATTCCTTCTCGTTCTTGGCAGCTCCTCAAGGCTTAGGGTTTAGGGTTTAGGGTTGAGGGTCTAGGGTTCAGGGTTTAGGGTTTGGGGGTTGGGGTTTGGGTTTAGAGGGTTTAGGGTTTAGAGGTTCAGGGTTTAGAGTCTGGGGGCTGGGGGCTGAGGAACATCGAGCCCATGTCCATGGGACATCTCGCCAAGATCAAGAGCCACTCGGCCAAGAGCAAGGGTTCAGAGATTGCGGTTTTCGCTAAACCCTAAGACCTAAACCCTAAACCCCCCACTACACCAACAGAAGTACGCCTTGTGCGCCCCCAAAAGCTTCTAGTCCCACATGCCAAGAGCCCTTGAAGCCCAAAGCCTTGTCAAATCCCCAAAGGCCCGAAGAACCCCAAAGCCCTGAACGGGTTTTAGGGTTTAGGGTTTAGGGCTTAGGGTTTAGGGCTTTCTAGAGCCTCCTCTGGAGGTCTGGAGGGTGTCGATTGGACCCTAAGCCCTAAATCCTAACTTCCACACCCTTCGGAACCCGGAACCCTGATAGGCGCGAAGAAGAGGTACTCAGATCAAAAGTTCGGCCGGGGACACACAGAAAGGCAGGAACTGATCGAGTATGCCATGCTATGGGGCCCAGTGATTTCTTGGGGCCTAAGATACAAGCGAAACCCGAAACCCTAAACCCCAAACCCCAAACCCCCAAACCCCAAACCCCAAAACCTAAACCCTAAACCACAAGGCAAGATCGAGGAGGAGATGAAAGTCCGGATAGAGCCTGGCGCCCATGCGTTGGTGGGGGGGGGGGGGTTAGGGTTTAGGGTTTGGGGTTTAGGGCTTGTGTGGGGGGGGGGGGGTTGCAGAGTTTCGGGTTGAGGGCTTGTTGACATTGGGGTGTGAGGCTTGACGGCCCTAAACCATAAACCCTAAGCCCTAAACCCAGAATCCTAAACTCCGAAACCCCCAAGCTCAGCCATACATGTGGGTTTAGGGTTTCGGGTTTAGTAGTGGTTTAGGGTTTCGGCAGGGTTTGGGGTTTCGGAGGGTTGAGTTTCAGTGTTTTGGGTGTTGAGGCTAAACCCTAAACCCTAAACCCTAACCCCTAACCCTTAACCCCTAAACCCTAAACCCTACACCCTACACCCTAAACCCTAAACCCCAAACCCCCAAACCCTAAACCCTAAACGCTGAAGCCTACTTTGAACTTTAGGGCTTTAAGATCTAGGATTGGGGTCAGGGCGGTTACGGTCCGGGATCGCTTTGGGGCTGCGACTTTGGCCATCGACCGGAGGCTTTAGGGGCTGAGGGAGTTTTAGGGCTCAGGGTTTAGGGTTTGTTTAGCTTTAGGTTTAGGATGTTGGAGGGGTTTACTGGGGGATCTAGAGAACCCCGAACCCTATACCCTAAGCCTGCCGAGGCTGGATGCAAGGTCCGCTCGGATCTGGGGCAACGAGAACGATCACGACAAGGTAGGGTGGGTTCAGGATATCACTGTTTCTGGGTAGGGCTTAGGGTTTAGGGTTTAGGGTTTCGGGTTTAGGGTTGAGGGTTTAGGTGTAGGGTTTAGGGTTTCGGGTTGAGGGTTTAGGGTTTAGGGTTTAGGGCTTGCTAGCAGGCGTGGGAGGCAGGGGCCGAGCATCGGCCGCATCCGATTCATGGCCCACCCGCGCTGTGCAGCGCGGCTCCCTCCCTCAGCCAGCTCCGCCTTTTAGGGTTCAGGGTTTAGGGTTTCGGGTTTAGGGTTTAGGGTTAGGGTTTAGGGTTTATCTTCTAAACTCCGTCTCTTGGGCGGAGTGATCGTTGGATGTTCAGCTGAAAAGAGGATACTTTCGGCGTGGCCCACAGGTACTTAGTGGGCTTCTTCGGACCCAGACGCACAACCTGGGCTCGAAAAGATCGAAACCAGGCTCCGCTAATTTGTTTCTCCTGGCACAAACCCGATAACATGCATTTACAACTTCTAGCACAAGGACCCAGTAGCCTAATGGGCAAGGCGTTGTTGTTGCGGAGCCCTCTGTCGGTTTTGACACACAAATGATGGTCCACCCTGGGTCGTTTGTCTTTTTCTGTCGGTTTTGTCTTCTTCACAATCTGCAACACTCCTCAAGCACCAAAACAGGCCTTGACACGTGGTTCAAATCCACCCTGAGTCGTTTGTTACTGACATCATTCTGAACTTCCAAAATAATTTATCTTAACAGCAGACAAGCCGCGTTTAAGTAAATCAAGCTAAAAACCGCCTCTGCTTCAATTTGCATGCCCAGCCATTTGTTCTCTTCGAACTTGCACGGAACAATCCACTTCGCCCAAAGTTTCTTTGTGTTTGACTTCTAGGAATTTCTTTTCGTCTGCCAATGAACAAATCGACACCGAGGGGATTCGAACCCCTGCGGGCAGAGCCCATTGGATTTCTAGTCCATCTCCTTAACCACTCGGACACAATGTCTTCTGCAAGTGCGATTTTAATATACTTCAATGGTAAATTCCTAATTAATTTTCAAGAATCAAAAAAATCAATCGAGAACGCCACTCGGTGGACTTTTACGCTCACCAAAATAAATATTGATTTGTGGTTCCTGGAAAGATTGGTTCTTCGTCTTGTGCGGGTGTTGGCCAATGAGGTAAAAACATTTATTTTGTGCCAGTGAGTGGGTGCTCTGTCGACTGTGCGTGCCCAAAACCCCACATTTTGGGCCCCAATCCAGCCAGCACACAAAGAAAGCTGCGCAAAACCGGGGGTTGGGGTTAAAGCGCCAGAGAGGGGGAATCGAGCCCCTGCATGCCCATGCCCCATGGACTAAGCCATGTCCAGGCACCAGCCTGACTCAACCTGGCAAAGGTATGTCTCCTGATTGGATTTTTTGAATAACCGCTGATACTCACTAGTTTCGACATCTGAAGGCCCGCCCTGCACTCACCCCCCACCCCATCCCCCACCCACACTACAACCCCCCACCCGAATCGCCTCGACGTCTTGTGTTGGGCGGACCGGGCCGGATGCGACGCAAGAGCACCTTCAAAAACATGCCAAAAGCAGGAAACGCCGCCGCCCATACCGTTTCACTCAGTTGTTCATTCATGTCTTCATTCACCCCTTCATTCACACGCTAACCATAAGGAAGAACAAGCGAGTTTATGAGGTGAGTTGCATGAACAAGTAAACTAGTGCGTGAATGAACGAAACATACGAATGAACGGCCCCTTAACAATCCTGCAATTGGGGCCTTAATATAATATGCTAAGGGCCTATATTTAGTATATTTTATTATAAGGGCGTCTACCCCCGCATGAAAAATCATGAAAATATACTAAATTACTGGCCCGTGCCCCTTTTTTCCCCTATTATCTTCTTTCTTTCGCTAATTCACAGATCTCGCGTTCATTTCATTCACTTGCATCTGTTGAGTTTCTTCTAATATTAAATCGTGCTTTGTCACTTTTTTCTTTCGTTCACTGCATTACATTTAATATTAAATTGTATTCTCTTCACGTAATACTAATAACTAATAATAAGAGAGAATAAAGACCACTTCGTGTCACTTCCGGCTCGCCCCCGAAAACCTCAATTTTCGCCCCAAACTATCTAAGCCCAAACGCTATAGGCGAAACTCTATACACCTAAACACTATACGCCAAACTACATGCGATGGCACTTTGACGAACGGACTTGATCCCTTCAGGCCCATCGAGAAGCCTCAAACCCTAAACCCTATATAAAGCGTAAAAAAAGGGGGCAAAAAAGGCCGAAAGCAATTCACCAATTCTCCTCGCGACCGCGCTCAAGCCCTGCCTTTTTGCAACATGGCGCATGTGCGGAGACCCACGATGAGTGGAGGCGCCTCGATGACTGCTTCAGCGTCGAAGGCTGCTTGTGTGAAACGCGCCGCCGCACCATCGTGCCTGCCCAAGACAAGGTGCCGGGGTGGACGTGAATGGGCGCGTGCTACCGGGCAACCCCCAGCGCATTTTTTGGGCAGGTTTTGCACACCCTGATGTGCTTTCTGGACGGACCCCCTGTGGAGAGAGGGCCGAAGCTGAAGGCCACAACAAACAGCAGAGGCCGTCCGGGATGCAGAGTGCTGCAACCGCGCACGAAATCCTGGTGGGAGTGAGTGCGTGAAGCAAAGTCATGCCGACAACAAGAAAGATGTTGGCAGGATCGCAACTGCCACCGGCCTTCCTGATGGCATCAAGGACAAGGTTTCGGCAGCAGCTAATTCACCACTTACATGTGCACAGGACATGTTTATCGAGTGGTCATTTTTGAGCCATGTCTTGCTCAAGATATTCCTTTTTGCAGAGCAGAACAAGATCAAGATGACCGAGGTCGACATTCACGAGTTCAACAGACGGCAGATCGAGGAACTGCTGCGGGCTCACCTGTGCAAGTCATCGACGTTGGCGCCGTTGACTCATTCGCGCGTGTTCCAAGCCTTCGCAGCTGGACTGACCTTGTGTCCACTGCAAAGGCCGCGGAGAAGACCATTCAGATCGGCGTGAGCACATTCATGTTCAGCTTCGAGGATCTTCGATGTTTGGAGCTTTAGACTTTAGACTTTGTGTGCCAATTTTAAGAGATATTCTCAGGATTTGAGATCTTGGGGTTTCTAAAGATATTCGAAGACAAGAAAGAATTTAATTTTAATATATATGAGTTGAAAGCATTAGTTATTTAGATTTGCGAGACCAGGAATTCTCAGATTTTACAAGTTTCCAAATACATTCCTTAAGATCTGAGGCCTTGGAATTCCAAAAAATGTTCGAAGATGACAAAGAATGGAATTTTATATGATACGAATAGAAGGAAGTACTAGAGTAGATCTTTGAGTTTCGCCCAAAGCCCCAAGCCCCAAACCCGAACACCTCGGTCCTCAGGGTTACGCCTGAAGCCGCGCTGGCACTGGTATTTTGACCCCCCTCTCCGAGCATTGGGGTCCCTTTGCAGCCTCAAGTTCGGCCTTGCTTGGCGCCCTAAACCCTGAACCCTAAACCCCACCAACCTCCAAGATCAGGGCCCCTGAAAGGGCCTCGGGAGGCTTCGGGACTCAAGGCATGGGGTGCTCAGGGTTTGGGAGGCTTCGGGGCCCGTAGTCTTAGGGTAGCTACATGGTCCCTGACTGTGGGAGCCCTTATATCCCCTTATGTACCCCACACAACCCAAGGGCGCAAGGGCCCATACCTCAGAACCCCTTTAAAGGAGGTAAGAGACAAAATAAGGGCCCATGCAACTACGCTCAGATCTAGGGCAAACGCTCTCCCAGGGCCTTAAGGGGGTAGTGGCCGGGAGCGCGAAACAAAACAGGTCTTTCTCGGGTGCCCAGTACAATTCCGGGCCTTGATTGTGGTGCCCAAAAGGAAGCATACTTCATAGAACTGCCCACGCCAAATATGGCTTGCATTGGGTTATAAGTACAGTTATCATTGGGTTGTTAAGTACCATGAACGTCCAAGAAGCCTTGTCTGTCCAGGCGCTGAACGCCAAAGAGCGGATAGAAGAAGAGCCGCTCAGCTGTAATAGCCCCAAGCCCTAAAACCCTAAAACCCTTAAAGCCCTGAAGCCCTAGAACCACAAAAATCCTAAAACCACAAAAATCCTAAAACCCTAAAACCCCAATAGCCCTAAAATCTGCACACTCGTCACTTGTCACCTGTCACTCATCATTCATCTCGGGCTTCAGGCTTGAGGATTCCCACTCCTGTTCAGGCAACAGGGTTCAGGGCTTAGGGCTCGGGGTCGTTTGGGGTGAGAAAACAGAGGACCCTCCCATCTTAAACTTTAAATCGCTTGAACCCTGGGGTCTAGATCTCTGAGCCCTCAAACCAAGAGTCTAGTAAGTAGGGTATCGAACTCTGAGCGCGAAGACCCGAAACCCTAAACCCTGAACCCTAAAGGGGTGAGGGTGTAGGGTTTAGGGTGTAGGAGCCCATATGCTTCGAGGATGGAGGATATCACCACCGTCGACACGCTCACCGTGAGTGTTCCGGCAAACTTGGTGAGCCTTGGCACGGTTTGGGGTTTAGGGCTTTGGGGGTAAGTCGCATTTTTGTTTTCCGGGGTGGAAAAGGGGGGGATCAGAGTTTAAGAGGGTTTAGGGTTTGCGGCTTTGAGGCCGTGGGTTTTGGGCTCTAACCCTAAACCCTAAACCTCTTTGTGTGGTGTTAACTTTGGCTCCAGGGGTTTACCAAGCGCTACACAAAAAAGGGTAATTTACATCCAGCTATAAAGGCACGCTTCCAGTTTTTCAGCATGTCAATATAGCTTACGACGGCTCACCAGAAGCCTACAAAGGATAAGTCAAACCCTAAACCCTAAACCCTAAACCCTAAACCCTAAACCCTAAACTCTAAACCCCAAACCCTAAACCCTAAACCATAAGCTCCAGAAGAATATGTTGGCTCCACCCTGCCACTCAGACGGCGGTCCAGGGTTTCCCCACTAGTAACCAGCAAGGCGTCTTCTCACAATTGCGAAACTTCAGGGAGTTCCGGAGCAGAAGGGTGAACAAGGCACCCTAATCCAGATTTCTGGGCCCCCAAACCCTAGACCGTAAACCCTAAAGCGCTGAAACCCCGAGACCCTGAAGCCCTGAAGCCCTGAGCCTTTTCTTGTCGGATTCAAGGGCGGTACGTAGCCCAAGGTTCCCTAATACTCCCCACTACTCCCTCAGGCTCCCTAAGGCTCCCTAAGGTTCCCTAAGGTTCCCTAAGGTTCCCTAAGGTTCCCTAAGGTTCCCTAAGGTTCCCTAAGGTTCCCTAAGGTTCCCTAAGGTTCCCTAAGGTTCCCTAAGGTTCCCCCTAAGGTTCCCTAAGGTTCCCTAAGGCTCCCTAAGGTTCCCTAAGGTTCCCTAAGGTTCCCTAAGGTTCCCTAAGGTTCCCTAAGGTTCCCTAAGGTTCCCTAAGGTTCCCTAAGGTTCCCTAAGGTTCCCTAAGGTTCCCTAAGGTTCCCTAAGGTTCCCTAAGGTTCCCTAAGGTTCCCTAGGTACCCTAAGCCCTAAACCCTAAACCCGAAACTCTAAACCCTAAACCCTAAACCCTCAACCCTAAACCCCCCCGAACCCCGCTCCCTTAAGAACTCGATATCTCTTCCATTGGCCCTTGCAGCTGTAGGAACCAAGTGATCAACGACTCGGCCCTTCGACAGCTCCAGGACCAAGCCTCAAGAAGCCCCCGAGTAGGACTGGAGTGATGAGGTTTAGGGTTTAGGGTTTAGGGTTTAGGGTTTAGGGTTTAGGGTTTAGGGTTTAGGGTTTAGGGTTTAGGGTTTAGGGTTTAGGGTTTAGGGTTTAGGGTTTAGGGTTTAGGGTTTAGGGTTTCGGGACCCTTCACCCCAAATCCGAAACCCCTAAACCCTAAACTCTGAGGCTTAGTTCGCCCTCTTAATCAGGAGTTTCCTTTTTGTCTCCGCTTAGGGACTCGTGAACCCGGAAGGGTTTAGGGTTTAGGGTTTAGCCTAAAGATTAATTCAGTTTTGTTTGGGCTTAGGATTTGGCAGGGTTTGGGGGGGGGGGGGGGGGGGGGGCAGTCATCATGGCGGCGATCAGGGTGACCGAGGCCCTTTCACTAACGTATTCCAATTAGCAAGCGGACGACCCTGGACACGCCCAAGCAAGTTAATGTTCCACAAGAAGGACAGATAGAACTCATGGCTTCGCCAAGCAGACGCCCGCACAGCATGCCGTTGCCTACTTACGGGACGCCTTCGGACTTCGGGCATCCGCCCAGTAAAGACGACGAGGGCGACTCTTCGACATCGACGTGTCGGGTTTTGGGCTTAGGGTCGAGGATTGCAAGCACTGCCAACACGCAAAACACAATGCAGTCGCTGCGCACATGACAAAGAGGGGAGCTGCGGCCCCATCATGAGATGTATAACCTGGGGAATGCAGTTCCGCAATCTGGACGCCGATCGATGTGTGAAACACCGAGCGATGCGAGATAAAGCGACGACGTGTACAACAAAAGGGCTCTGGCGGTTTAGGGCGGGTCTAAAGCCCACACGCACGATCATGAACCCTAAATAAACAAGAACCCAACCACACGCGCATCGTAGACCTGAACTGAGGGGAGGGAAAGAGGACCACAGCCGCGACGTGACTTGTTGAAGTGAGTTTTTGGAACTCGTCTGAAGACTGGGAGCGAATGTAGCACCAAGCGGGTTTAGGGTTTAGGGTTGAGGGTTTAGGGTTTAGGGTACGTAGAGTATCACCGAGCCGAATGGGGCGTTGATTCAGCGACATGGACCGCATGCCTCGCCTGGTTTGTCCGCATCTGAGCGATTAAACCCTATAAGCCCCAAAAGGACCCTAAACCTAACATGCAGTACGTGGTGAATAGCTTTTTACACATAGGTAGGGCACTGCAAAACGTGCCAAAAAAACGCCGGCGTCCGCAGCAAATCTGGCAGGTTGACCCATCTTCGAGGCTAACCTGAGTTCCAGCGTCTACTTGGGGATTGCTCTGCTGATATGTGTTTCTGCTATGTAGCTTCTGGGGTGACGTGTAATCCGAGATTAGCCTGCCACTTGTACTATACTTCTCTTGCTGCCAAGCTCCTCCGTACAAGCTGAAACAGCTCCTGAACCCAAAGCCACCCCAAAAACCCTCTGAATATAAACAGTAAACCCTAAACCCTAAACCCTGAGTCCGGAAATCTCCGAATCGCCTGAACCCAGACACCCCTACAGCCTAGAAAGTTAGACAGGACCAGACGGGCCTTACCGCCAACGTCGCTCGGGCTGCTCTTGAGTCTTTTGCACCCGAAGTCTTGAGGAGTCTGTGTTTAGGGTTTAGGGTTTCGGGTTTCGGGTTTCGGGTTTAGGGCAGGGGCTTAAACCCTAAACCATCCCATGAAGAGGGTTTAGGGTTCAGGGTTTAACAGGGACCTCTACAGTACACCCTCCCTACCCTGCATGCCCTGCAAGCCTTCAAAATTCAAGCTGTGCAAATGACTTCTCGGCTCCAAACAACCCATAAGCCCTGAACCCTAGAAGGCTTAAACCCCAAAACCCGAACCCTGAAGCCCCAAACCCTGAAGCCTAAGCCCGAAAACCTAAACCCCAAACCCTGCAGCCGAAACCCTGCAGCCGAAACCCTAAACCCTAAACCCTAAACCCTAAACCCTAAACCCTAAACCCTCAACCCTCAACCCTAAACCCTAAACCCTAAACCCTAAACCCTAAACCCTAAACCCCAAAACCCCAAACCCTGAAGTCGAAACCCCTGCGAGCTCCCCAGGTCTGCAAGAATGACCAGGGCACCGGCATTCGCCTGACTGGCTTGGCGGGTGCCATTGCGGAGGCGAAATCTTCACAGGGGGGGTCCGCGGCTGCCCCGACTCTTGGGCCCCCAAAAAGGGGTTTAGGGTTTAGGGTTTGGGGTTTAGGGTTTAGGGTTTAGGGTTCAGGGTTTAGGGTTTAGGGTCTAGGGTATAGGGCTTAGGGTTTTAGGGTTTAGGGTTCAGGGTTTAGGGTTTAGGGTCTAGGGTATAGGGCTTAGGGTTTTACGGTTCTAGGGTACCCTTAAGCCCTAGACCCTAAACCCTCAATGC